CCCCAAAACCCCAAAACCCCAAAACCCCAAAACCCCGGCTTTATCGGCTTATATTGGGAAGTTAAATAATATATCATAAATTTTGGATAAAAATGTCAGAGTCTCACACACTGACGACGAAGGTCTGATCCTGGCTTCCAGGGCGACTTTTGAGCAGCAAGGCATTAATACTGTACATTCTGATGGTTTTCATGTTGTCAACGATCAACTGAGAGATAAACTACATTCCTCTTAAGCCGAACGGGCCAGAAGTAGAAAATGAAATGGGAGAAAGAGGGCTCCATCACTACAAAATTAAGATTGAGAATGATTACCAGCAAGGAGAGGATTTGGTGGTCACAGTTAAAGGTGTAGGAGCAAGGGCTGACCCAGATCTGTACATTTCAACCAAAAGTGATCCTGCTCCTTCTAGAGAGAATCATGAATACTCTTGAGCAAAGATAGGTGAAGATGTCTGCACTATTCCTTCGTCAGATATTTCTGTCGGGAAAATATTTTATGTAACCACAAGTTGATACAGAAAATGAGGATATTCACTTAAGGCTGAGTTATTGAAAGAGATCCCCATCAGGGTACAGAGAGACGTCTCTATCGTGACTAGTTCTGCTGGTAAACGAATCTTTGTCTTTAACAATACCCATGAAGGTGTTAAAGATATTTACATTGTTGCCAGATCTTCCAGCCCTACCTCTTCCATGAGAATGTTCCTGAAAAGTGGCAAAGATGGAGCTCCTACTTCTGAAAACATGAGGTCTGCTGATGTCTGGGAGAATGCAGTTGTCTTGAAGATGACAAATCATACTATTGAAAGCGTCAAAAAGGATCAGACTTACAAAATTTTGTTTGAAACAGATCAAAGCGTCAATGCAACACTGAGAGTAGACATGGTTTATAGAGACAGGCTGCTTCAGGAAGGAAAAATATATGATGATTTCCTCTATGCTCGAGATAAGTCTTGTTATAAGTATAACATCAAGAGTGCTGACAAAAAGTTCAGGGTCGGAGTTTATTCATTTTCTGGAAATCCAGATGTCTATGTCACCCCTGAAACTGAAGATATTGAAAATCTTGATAAGTATGAGTTCAAAGCTACTGAAGCATCAGATGATGTCCTTGTAATCACTCCAGAAGATAGGATGAAAATTGGAGCCAAGAAAGGATGGTACCACATCTGTGTACTTGCTCATAGCACTACGAGTTACAGACTCAGAGCTGTTGAATCAAATGAGAACTATTTCCTCGAAGATGGGATTTCTGAGACAAATGAAGTAAACACTGGTGAAGATCAGGTCTTCTACTACACAGACTCATCATTAATCAGAAACCTCAACCTTACTTTCACTCTATCCACTCATTCAGGCCCAACTCCACAAATGTATGTGAAATTCTGTGGGAGAACTCCAGATAATCAATGTCAGATTACAGACAAAAAGGCAGATGGAGTTCAAAAGTCTGTTCTTGTGCATGGCCAGCTCTATTCCTTCTTCAAGCATAAGGGAGAAGGTTGCCGAAAAGAAACAGTTGATCAGGCTCATCCTTGTATGTATGTTATCATGGTGCATTCACCTAAAACAATGATAGAGAGAGTCTCTCATTTCTCTCTTGTTGCTCATCATAATGAAACCACTCATATCAAACTCAGAGAAGGTATATCCATGGAGGGTATTGTTGAGCACAGTCAGTCAAAGTACTTCAGGTTCGTGAACAGAGATTCTAAGGTTACTAATGTCACATTCACCCTAGTCAGCCATCACGGAGATGCAGACATGTTTGTCTCTACACTTGACAAATACCCAAATTCAAAGATTTTTGAGAAAAAGTCAGATATGAGCAGTAAATTTGCTGATGAAATCACCTTCAAAAAGACTGAGAATAGAGGATCTCTTCTCGGAGTCTACTACATTGCAGTGAAAGGTTATGAGTATACCTCCTTCAGTATCAGAGCAACTCTTGCAAGAGAAGCAGGGGACTCTAACAAGACCATTACTCCTATCAGACTAAGAGAAGGCGTATCTCACAATGAATTTATGCATGGCAAAGATGACAAAAAGTACTTTAAATTCAGAACTCACATGAGAGGAGATTCTATCACGGATATTAGAATAACTTTGACAGCTTCTACTGGAGATTATCAATATTTTGTCAAATTTGGATCCTATCCAACAGAAAATAACTACGACTATGCTTCATTTGATGCTAGCGATATTGTAATGAGGAAGGACGACGAAAAGTTTAAACCTAGAGGAACCAAATATATTTTGGTCGTACCAAATCCCAAATTTGGCACATTCCCAAACAAAGGAAGATTTGCTCTCAAGTACTCTACAGGTGATAGTATTCAACCAATATCGAAGGATACTCCTTTGCATGGCATCGTCAAGATTGGAGATTATGATTATTACAGATATCACTCAATCAGCCAAGTTGATGAGTTAACTGTGGCTCTAACTCCACTTTCAGGGGAATCTAATTTAGTAGTGTCTATTAATTCCAACAACAGTTATCCTACAACTGAAACTAATGATTATCACTCTTCCAAAATAGGCAAGGATACTATCACAATGAGTGGAAGAGATTTGTTCAAGGACAATCCAACCTGTGACCCTCTTAAAGCATTAGAAAAGAAAATCAGCCCATGAGAAATCTACATCGGAGTCTTCTGTGCTGATAGCACTGACACGATCAGTTCAAGAAAGAATGATTCCTGCTCATTCTCTCTCAAAGTTTACTCTAAAGATGGAGGTGTTCACCTTATCCACGATGGAATTCCACAAAAAGACCATGTTAAGGAGACTGAAGTTATGACTTATTACATGCCGCTTGATAAGGCTAAAGATCTTTATGTTTCAGCAAACGCTGAACTAGGAGATATCAAGCTCTATGCATCTTTTGGTGATCTTTCTACTAAGAATGCTGAAATAATGAAACCAACTAAAGAAGAACATATCAGAGGAAGCAAGGAAGTTGGTCATTCTCAAATGATTCATTTCAAAAGAAATGAAGTCAAGGAGAACTGAGACGAATTAGAAGAATGCATGGTTCTCATATCTGTCCAAGGAGCTGGGGCAGTAGAATTCAACGAATACTCTATTACTGCATACTACCACATGAGAAGGTTGATTCCTAATTCTCCATCATTTGCTGTGATTGATGAAGGCACTATGGCTTATTTCATGTACAAGTCATACTGTGAGGATTGCACAATCTTCTTATCAGCAGCTCCTTTTGCTATTGATTCTGACATAGACATGTATTTAAACATTGGAGCAGACAAAGACTTGCCTACAACAGATTCTTATGACATTAAGAGAGATGAATGGTTTACTGAGCATATTGAATTAGATACACAAAATGAGTTCTTTAAAAAGAAAAACATTGATACTATGCAGAATACTATTCTGATTGGCATTTATGCTAAAGAAAATTCTATAATCTACATTGATGCTGAAGAGAGCAAATCAAGAATGAAAACTCTTTCTCATGGTAAAGGATTCCATGTTGAACAGCCTGCTAATGATCAGAAGTTCTTCCAATATATTCACAAAGGAGACAGTAGTATCAAATTTGAGCTCACCGGACTACATGGAGAGGTTGACATGAGAGTTAATTGCTACAATCCACACCAGCTTGATCGCCCAATGAGTGCTTACCTTCCACAAGATCAAAGAACCTCAAAATGGGATACTAATTCAAAACAAAGCACCAGCATTGTTATTGAAAATGAAGAGGAAGAGTATTGCAAGAATGGGGTATACCTCATTGCAATCACCTCAATGGAGCAAGGTGCCAAATACACTATTGAGGCACAGAGAGGAGGAACTTTCACTAGTAAACAAATCAAGATCGGAGTTCCTATAAAAGACCAAATCTCAGAAGAGCACGAAAAACAGTATATGTTTGTACTTGACAAAAAGAAGCCATTCAAAGTCACAGCTTCCATATATGCAGGAAAAATCAGCTTCTCAATTGGAGAGGAGAAAGACTTTACTAGGCCTTTGTTTGAGTCTGAAGATGATCACATTGAAGTAAGCAAATCAGATGTACAAAAATTCAAAACTGGTCAGAATATTTACATTAGAGTTAGAGGAGAATTCGATCATTCAGAGTTTATTCTAGTAGCCACTCATGATGATTCTTACTCAATTATTCCAGACTCTTTCACCCAGACCTTCTCAATAGATCCTCTTGATGAAGATGGACTCAGACTTATGTACTATCCTCCAAATGTTGACCACGAGTTGAAAATTCAGGTCAATTCATTCACAGATGCAGTCTATTTCCATGTTGAAAGGAAAAAGGAATATCTCTATCAAATTAAAAGTGACAAACTTGCCTTCCCCAAGCTTGACATGAACAAATTAGCACCTTGGTTTACTAAAAACTGGGATTCTCACGCAAGACATTACTCTGAAACTGTACAAATGAAAAGTAATAGAACTGACGATTATGTGATTCTTTTCCTAATATCTCCTCAAATTATTGACAAAGATTTATTAAGAAAGGAGAAGAAAGATAAGGTTAAAGTTACTGTGAACATAAACTCACACCAGATGATCGTCTTGACTGCAAATGTTGCTCAAGAAGTATCTCTCTCCCCACAGGTGGGTGATTATGCTTACTTCAAATTCTTCGCTAACGGTCGCAAAGACATCGAAATAAACCTCGTCCCTTGCATGTGAATGACAGAGATGTTCGTCTACAAGACCTACAACCACGCTGTACAGCACATCTCGTCCCTCGAAAGGAGCCATGTAATGACAAACGGTATGAAATCTATCATTCTCAAGAAGGCTTCTGGGCCTTACTTCATTAAAGTCCAGACAGATTCCAGTCCCGAGTGGGAGGAGACTAAGAACGCTGCTGAATACTGCTCATTCCAGCTAGTCTACTACGACAAGTCTCATCCGAACTTCCACTACAGCATCGGGAGCTACTACCCCGAGAAAGGAGGCGCCATCGAATACGACTGGCCTTCTCACGCCCATCTCCACCTCCAATGGGGAAGGATCATGAAGGAAGGTCCCTTCGAGACAGAGGTCTTCCCGACCATTGGAAATATGCTCGTGTTCAAGGTAAGATCGAGGGCTGTGCCCACAAAGGAATTTTGACAGGCGAAATAGGGATCTTAAGGGGTGTTTTAGGAGTTTAGAGTGGGGATAAAGGGGTGGATGTGAGAGGGAATTTTAGGAGATTTGGATTTTGGAGTGTAGAGATTTTTGCGGATTTTGAGGCTGTGATGATTGGAATATAGGAATTGAGGGTTTGCTTATGTTATTTATGAATTAGATAAGGTATTTGGATGTGATAGTGGGTTGTAGTCAGGATTAATTTGGGTATTTTATATAGTTCTTTATACTTGGAATCATCTGAAATAATGCTAATTTCATTCTTCTCTGTTTTTGTGAAATATCTCAATAGAGGCTTCGATATTTATTTAAAATTGTAAAGTATATGAACTATGACTATTCCCACTGCTTCTTCTTGAATTTTGATGTTTTAACTAATCTTCTATTGATTTCAATGAATTTGGTCATCATTTTAGTAAATTTTAGAATTAGTTGATCTCTCTAAAAGGCAAATTCTTAGAAATCTCTTCGACGAATCATAGCAAACTCACAAATTAAGAATTAAAATTACTTTAAAAACTTCAAAATTAACCAACTCTATAGGAAAAGAGCATTTTCGCAAATTCGATTTGTGGGTTAAAACATCATAAAGCAAGACATGAACCACTATATTTCGAGCCAGGGCTATACAACCAGGAGAAGACATTTAATCTAAACGAAATGCCTGAATTATATAAACAAGAGTCCCTCACATTCTACTTCTTTGCATCTGTGAACAGAGATGGAGCTTCAGTGATGTACCAACCCACAACAGTCACAATCGACATCGGATGGGTTGGTGGAATCCCATGGATGCTAATCCTTATCGCCGTGGCCATAATTTCAATCCTCTCCTATGCAGTCTGGCATTTCAAGAACAAAGCAGATGTTACAAAAGAGAAGCTGGATTATGAGATGAATGACATCCGTAATGTTGCAAGGGTCCCTAATGTTGAAGACTCTTCTGAAGACCAACCGATTGGATAATTCCCACAAATCTTCATTTGGAGTCTAAAAGAGTTGTTCAGTAAAATATTTAAAAGGAGGGGTTTTGGGGTTTTGGGGTTTTGGGGTTTTGGGG